CACTAATCTATACTCATAGGGACCTGCAGCATGACCTTTGCTAAAGACCTGGAATTTGGGGCCATTTCCTATGGGTGGAGACAGTCCAGCAGAGGTTCTGTCTCCATGTTTTTTCAGCTTTGTGGATCAAAACCAGCACTTTTGATCTCGGGAGCAAATCGGAGTTCCCTTTTATAAAACAGAGGAACAGTCCCAATGAATTCTTTTCCCCAAGGCTCTGGTGTTATCCCATCTCTCTCTGCTTACAAAAACCCTTGCTTGCTGTTCCATGCGCAGTAGAAGGCAGTGTCACATATTCAAAATGGCCACAGCAGAATGGCCTTTAAAACAAGGATGGAGAATTCCATTTTTAAAATTATCTTCAAGTGGCATGTTTTTTCTTCCCTGCTAACCTTTCCACCTTTATCTGTGACAAGGCCTCCTGAGCTGCCATGCCTGGCAAAATCTTCTTATAGTCACTTCATACTGAGGAAGAAAAGACCCCAAGAATGGATTTCTGTTGCTTCCCCTTCTGTCTCTCCCTCCAAAAGATCATTTAAAAGCACTTAGAACTGCCCAGAGGGATGCGATGCTCAGAACATGGACCGTCTCTGAAGTTAATGGAGGCCTATACTTCTCCTCAAGTGGGTCATTGCCTCTCAGAGAGAAGATAAATTGACTTGCAAGAGCATTTTGCTCCAAAGGCCCAATGACCTCAGTGGATGGGGCTGCAAACAGGGACATCCGTTTGCTTGCAACCCGAAACATTTCCCCTTAATGCAAAATGTTGCACACAATTCTCTTTTTATTACCTTGCCTCCAGGCGAGCAATCTTGGCCCCAACAAACCTGGGTTTTTCGAGCGAGGGATGTCCTGTTTCCCAGTCGCTGAGGTATCCACAGCAATTGCTCTCACCTCATCTGATTCCCGCTACCCGCAACCCCCATCTGTTCTGGCTGAATGACATGCATTATGAATTCTGCATGTTGCTTCAGCCAGGCAGGTTCAGGAGTGCACTGAGGTCTCTCCTGTTAATTCAGATGCTTTGCAAAATGTGAAAACGCAGGCTTTCCTGATAGCAAATGGAGAATGCTACACAATATCTGATTCTTCTTTCTTTCTTTCTTTCTTTCTTTCTTTCTTTCTTTCTTTCTTTCTTTCTTTCTTTCTTTCTCACCCTCTTTCTTTGAGCAGGAGAGAAAGCAAGACTGTGCATCAGCATTTAATTTCTTTGGCCTCAGTCATATACAGGATCGCTTCAGTTCAGAAATCCAAGCCTCCATAGTAAAACCGAAAAAACTTTATTCAGAAGACCAAAGCTGTATTCAACAAACTTAAGTTATCAGGACTAAGGCTTGAGCAGTTATACAGTGTAATTAAAGTTCATAGCAATTCAAACTTTGAGTGGGCTGACTTTCCATTCTCCCATAGACCTAAACATGTTCACATTATAGTTGGCCCTTCATATCCGTGGGGCTTCCATTCCCTATCCCCCCCCCCATGGATGCCAAATACCGTGGGATCTCAAGACCCATTATAGTCAATGGTGGTGCAACATGCACACAAATGTGTTGGCACAGCCACATGCATGTGCCACCACTGATGAGAACTGGCCAGGACCATCCATGGACGCTCCAATCCATGGATGGCAAGTCTGCCAATAGAGAACTGACTGTACTTCATTCCCAGGGTCACTCCTCCTTCCATTCCCATGCCATCCATTCTCATGGGACTGGCCTTGAAACTCTCAGGGCAATCTCTGCTCCCCACACATCTGTTTGTTAACTTTCTCAAGGAATGTGAGTGCTGATACCATCCTAACCCCATGACAACATATCCCATCATCCGTCATCAAACTACCATAAGCATCCAAGCATATCAATCTCCATAATCTATGACAGGAAACCAGAGGAGACTTGGCTTCTGCCAGCCTAAGTTGATTGGAAACTTTCCTTTGTAAATCAAACTACAGTTGGCATCCTAGTAATGAGTTATGGTAGAGCAAGTCCAGTTTACTCTAGCATCTTCCATTTTCTTTGCTCTTGCACAGGTCAGAATTCATTATAACCATACCATGAGCAAAATGCCCCCTCATCCCACCTTTGAAGCAACACAGCTCCCCTGATATGGCCAATTGTTTGGCATGGCCATTTCTATTTTCTGCGATCAACAGAGATGTGTGCAGCTAATTTCTTGTAGCTGGATATATTGCAAGGTGGATAACATTTTCAATGTCTTCCTGCCAGAGAGTGAGGCTGTGACAAAGAGTTGTGACAGAAACTGAATAGACCTCCTTTGCCCAATTTGGCTGCTAGCTCTTAAGCTGGGCTGGGCTGGCATTTACTCAGATTTATAGATGACTACATGGTCTCACTGAACAGAGAGTAGTTACCGATCCATAATTGTTGGTTACAAATCTGCAGATGCAGTACTGAATGCCACCTTTCATCTTTGGGCAGGAAAGTGGGGTTTGCATGAAACAAAAGTTTTACACTGAAGACTGTGTAATTTCCCCAAAGTTTCCTTGTTCCAGCAGTAAGATGTGGCCACACACACACAGAGACACACACACAACAAATTTGGGGACTAAATGAATTTTTCATTAAAAAGGCCCCAAATCTAAAATCCTACCAAAAATGCACAAAAAGTCTTGGAATCTCACCCAGCAGGGAGAACATGTTTACATTTTTTCTTGTGTACAAGAACAATGTAACTCATGTGCCAACTAGTATGACAATGCTTTGTATATATTGTTTCGTGCATTAATTTTTTTTTTTGGTATTTTCCTCATGAGTAACTATTTTCAAGCCTTGCAAAAAAAGGATTTCTTTATGGTATTACCTCAAATCCAGACACCTTCTTGTAATGTTCTTAAACCCTGGAGATGGGGCGAATTTAGCTTTGTCAGGAAAAAAAATGATGAACTGGCTTCTCATAGGATTATAAAAAAAGTCTGTGATCTACAAAAGTCTGTGATCTACCAATAGCTCCCAGCAAAGACACCCACATTTCAGGTGTTTCCCCCTCTCCTAGTTTTGGCAGGTCACCGAGCAACTAATGTGTTATCATGAAAATCTCAGAACACATAGTTCAGGAGCAAATTAAAGCCAGACTCAACCGGAGTAATTCCTGTCTACAAAAAATGATACCTGTCAGAGGGTTTTAGTTTTGATGCTAGACCTTTTTAAAGAAAAACTTTGGTTTATGGAAAGTGGAAAGCCAGTGGTCAAGAACCTACATCACTTGGAGCACCATACATATCTACTGGTGGGGTTATGTTGCACAAGCCCTATAATGAATACCAAAATAGGGCAACACATGCGGTTAATGTGCATGACTTAAAATCTACTGTGCAAGGACAGTGCACAATGCACAATGCACAATGCACAATGCACAATGCGCAATGTGCAAGGGCAATACATAGAGACACTGTACATCCACACATGTCTGAATACTTTAAATTGCTACTGCATGTGAAACAATCTTGCATGCACAACTCTGATTATGTGCCCATCAGCTGGATGTGGCCATTGCACCTCATCCAAACAAATCACTCCACATACATAGCTCAACCTATGCCTACATATGTCACTAATAGGACACCAGCTTTAAGTTGCCAATAAAAGATGACATCCTGTTATTGACTTGTAACCACAACACCAGCCTACACCCGCAGAAGTCACTGTTTTTGGTCAATAAAAGCTAGCATCCTATTAGTGAGTTTTGAAGCACATCAGTTTTGCTGTTGTTGTGTGCCTTCAAGTTGTTTTCGACTTATGGTGACCCTAAGGTGAACCTATCATGGGGTTTTCTTTGCTAGGTTTGTTCAGAGGGGTTTGCCAGGGCCATCCTCTGAGGCTGAGAGAGTGTGAATTGCCCAAGGTCACCCAATGGATTTCCATGACTGAGCAGGGATTTGAACCCTGGTCTCTGGAGTCATCATGACTCTAGAGTGATGCTCAAACCACTATGCCACTCTGGCTCTTTAACATCACCTTACATCTGTGTAAGTCACTGTTTTTGGTCACTAAAAGCTTTTAGTGACTTTTGTAAGCACAACACCAGCTGATATATCTTCTGATCCAAGATCTCAGTTGATGTTATTTCAAAAGTCACAGAGATGTTGTCTGGATATGAAAGACAAAGCACCATGTCAGTTGAAGTACAATAAGTCTAGAAAGAAAGGTTCTTTCTTGATGACCAAAAAATGAGAATATGGAAAGAGAAATCCGCACCAGGAGCTTAGAATACAACCTGAAAAAGGTAATTACTTATAGTTACTATAGTTATACAGTGAACTGATTTGGGGCCCACATAGTTCAGTAATTAGTTATATAAGAAGATGCACTGTTGTGTAGCCCAGGGTGCGGCTGGTGTAAGAAAAATAAATAAATTGGCCAATTCCATAACTAGAAAAGGAACAAAGAGTAAAATTGCCCACATCCTACTGCCAAATTTGTGGTGTGGCAGGAGCTGGAACACGGTGTATGGTTCCAATCTCTACAAAGGAGAAAAAGGAGAACGTAGCACTGGAAGAGGTGCAGGGAAGGGCAAATGATTTATTCAAGGATCTGAAGCTACTCTCCCATGAGAAAGATTACAACAACCAGTAGCTTTGGCTCAGAAAGAAAAGGGGGATCGGGGAGCACCTGATAGAGGTAAATAACAATGATGGTGAGCCTAAAGCAAGCCTAGCTTGGGTTTTCTTGGCAAGGTTTGTTTAGAGGGGGTTTGTCTTTGCCTCCCTTTGAAGCTGAGAGAATATGACTTGCCCAAGGTCACCCAGTGGGTTTCATAGAATCATAGAATCATAGAGTTGGAAGAGACCCCAAGGGCCATCCAGTCCAACCCCATTCTGCCATGCAGGAACTCAAAATCAAAGCACCCCCTTTGACAGATGGCCATCCAGCCTCTGTTTAAAGACCTCCAAAGAAGGAGACTCCACCAAAATCTCCGAGGAAGGAGTGTGTTCCACTGTTGAACAGCCCTTACTGTCAGGAAGTTCCTTCTAATGTTGAGCTGGAATCTCTTTTCCTGGAGCTTGCATCTGTTGTTCCGAGTCTGCATCCATTGTTCCAGTTTCCTTGGCTGATGGAGATTTGAACCCATGCCTCCAGAGTCATAGTCCGAGGTTCAAATCACTATACCACATTGGCCTTCTGTAAACAACATGCATGGTCTAAAACAGGGGTAGGCAACCTTTCCCTTTTAAGGGCCGAGGGACTTCAGCTCCCAGAAGCCTCAGCCATGTTGGCCAATAGTCCCATGTTGGCCAATAGCTCCTGGGATTCTGGGAGCTGAAGTCTCTTGGCCCTTAAAGGGGAAAGGTTGCCTACCCCTGGTCTAAAACAAGATGATAGTTCCTGTGTACCCCGGACATTTTCCAAAAGCTCCCAGGGTAACATAGCTATATCTCTGAATTCTTGACAGATTAGAGAGCTGGGCCAAAACTAACAAAATGAATTTTAAGAGGGAGAAATGTCAGGTACTTCATCAGCTAGGAGCAATGAAATGCACAAATATAAGATGGGTAACACCTGGCTTGAAAGCAATACATGTGAAAAGGATTGAAGGGTCTTAGTTGACCACAAGCTAAACATGAGTCAATCATGCGACGCAGTGGCCAGAAACGTCAATGCAATTCTAGGCTGCATCAAGAAAAGCATATTCAGATCAAGGGAAAGAATAGCACCACTCTATTTTGCTTTGGGCTGACCTCACATAGGCATTTCTATTCAAGAAAGGTATTGACAAGCTTGATATGTACAGAGGAAGGTGACCAAGATTATCAAAGATCTGGAAACCAAGCATTATGGGGAATGATTTAGATATTTAGGTATGTTTTGCCTGAGAAGAACAGACTGAGGTCTAATCTGCACTGCAAAAATAATGCAATTTGACATCACTTTAACTGCCATGCCTCAGTGCTATGGAATTTTGGGATTTGTAGTTCGTTGTGGCCCCAAAATTCCCTGGCAGAGAAGGGTAAATATCTCACAAAACTACAGGTCCCAGAATTCCATAGCATTGAGCCATAGCAGTTAAAGCAGTATCAAATTGCATTAATTCTACAATGCAGATTAGACCTGAGGGTTAACATGACAGCCAACTTTAAATACCTGAAGGGATGTTGTACAAAAGATGGAGCAAGCTAGTTTTCTATTGCTCCAGAGGCTAGAACTGAAGCAATGGATTCAAATGAGAAACGATTCCACCAAAACATTAGGAAGAACCTCTTTACTGTAAGAGTTGTTTGACTGTAGACTAGACTTCCTCGGTGGGTGGTGGACTCTCTTTCTTAGGAATGCTTTAGCTGCGTAGTCCTACATGGCGGGGAGTTGGATGAGTTGGACGATGCAATTTTGATTGCTCCAGAGACTAGGACATGAATCGGTGGATTCAAATGGGGAAAGATTCTACCTAAAAATTAGGAAGAATGTATTTACTGTAAGAGCTGGTTCGAAGCAGAAGAGACTGCCTCAGAGGGTGGTGGGCGCTCCTTCTTTGGAGGTCTTGAAGCTGAGGTTGGATGAGCATCTTTTGGGTCGGTGTCCCTCCAGTGCGGTAACTCATGCCGTCACCCCCAGGCTGCCTGGTACATTCCCAGATTGGTCAATGGTCCTACAGGAGTAGATCAGGACACTGAGGAAGACAGGCTGGCCTCCTTGCCAAAGACAGAGAGGTGGACTGGACACCCAAACAGACCGTCCATGTTCCCAGTCCATTCCTATCTACCCACCTTGTTTGCAACCCCTAAAGGGGTCCAGGCACCATTTTGTGAAGAGAGTGGCCTCCAGGGGTTTGTCATGGCATGCTGATAGCATCTTGGTCATCTTCTTGGCCACCGCCTCATGAGCGGACTGGATCTTTCACAAGACCTCCAGTCTCCAAGAGTCCTGTTTCACCCCTGGGGAGACACGGCAGTATACACCCAAAGGCAATCCCTTCCCACAAGTGCATCAGGAGACACCCCCGAGATGTCACCCAGTGTGGTCCGCACCCCCCGCACCCACTAGAAATGCCCCTAGATTAAATAACGCTTGCAGCCCTTCCAGCTCTAAGATCCTATGGCCCTATGAGAGCAATGGATCCTGCCCCTCTGCCTGATCTCCATTTGGATCTCCCTCTCAGGAGCACCTGAGGAAACCAGACCAGTGTGTGCCCTTCAAGTCATAGAATCATAGAATCATAGAATCATAGAATCATAGAATCAT